GGTATAAGTTTTCTGTCTTAAAGCTTCGTCCCTTTCTGGCTCATGGAACCCTAGTGTGTTGCTAATCGAATGGGGTTCCTAGGTCTGAGTTTTGGGTGATTGTTTTGGTGTGTCTTAGTTTACGTGGGAACGTGGAACGAAAATTAGTTAGAATGGTAGAAGTGGTTTAGAGGAAACCCTAAATCGTGCTTTTGAGACCACTGCTTCCAGTAAGGGAAGCTTAATAATTTAAAATTTATACGTGTATGATTGTATGAAAGCATGATTGGTTGTCTGTATGAAATCTTTGTATGCGTGATTTTCTGATCTGCATGAACGAGCCCTGTTGTGCTGTTATGAATGTACTGATATGATTTTCTGGATTGTTGAGCTGCATGCATGGTTTGAATCGTATGGATGAATACTATAATGTATGAATTGTTAAGATGTTGATTTTGAATATGAACTAAATCTGCAAGCTGAGAGTGTAAAGTTCATAAATCTGAGATATTTGAAGTATAAAGTTTAGGTTCAAACATTGTTGTAATCGGAAAAATTGGTCTAAGGTTGATAATTCTGCACTAAATCCTACTTTTGGTTAAAATAACGCTCGTCACTGTACGGTCTGTATACCGTTCGGTTTTCCTTATGATACGTTTAAAATGGAATTCTTTCATTGGAAGAATTCTGCTCTGAGCACGAGCGTCCCCCTTTGAGTAAAGTTCGTATGGGTAGTTATAGCGTCGGCTTCTGTCGGCGTCAGTCTTTATAGCGTTCGACTCTTGTCGAGCGTCACAGTCTTAATGGTTCGACTCATGTACGAGCGTCAGTCTTTAATATGGTTCGACATTCATGTCGAGGATCAGTCTTATATCCGCACCTCTTCAGTCCTGACATGTTCGACCTCATGTCGAGCATCAGTCTTTATAGACGTTCGACCTTCATCGTCGAGCGTCAGTCTTAATAGTCGTGTCGACTCATGTCGACGATCAGTCTTTAATAGCGTTCGACCTCATGTTCGAAGCCGTTGTCGAGCGTCAGTCTTTAATAGCGTTCGACCTCATGTCGAGCGTCAGTCTTTAATAGCGTTCGACCTCATGTCGAGCGTCCGTTTTAAATAGCGTTCGTCCTGATCTCAAATAGCGTTCGTCCATACAGTGAATTAACGTTCGTCTTTTTATGGAAGTGTAACAAAGAATGAAAATGTGATATTGAGAGAATTATAAAATGAACGAACCATATATGGGGTGAAATTATGAGATTGATATTTGAACGAGCGTTCCAAGGAGGAACGACTCTGATTGGTTATTGAATTTAGTAAAGTATGACTGTGGATAAGTTTAGACTCGCTGTCCATCCTGATGTTCCGTGATACGCCTCTTCAAGTAGAAGGGGGTACTCATGTGTGGGAACGGCAGGAGGTCCTTAGTCCATAAGTTAACATGGGCGACGTAAGAACGGACTTACCTCGAGTGGCAGCTGTTTGGTGTTATCCCAGTTACTACATCACTCGGGTGCAAGGACGCTTGAAACTACACAGATTCATACAGTCCGGACGGTCTGTCTAGAATATTTATATTTATGTTTTGATTGAAGTTATATGCGTATGTACTGATTGTGTGATGATTTGAATATAAATGTTGAAGTATGAATTTAAAATACGTAAGCTTACCCTTGCATTTTCCATTGTGTTGTCTACTGTCCATGTATTTTCCGTCTTGTCAAAATGCAATGATCATCCATGTGGATGTGAGCAGACGGTGGAGCGTCCCTTGAAACACTGCTGGAAGAAGAAAATTTGGAGGACGCGACGCTGGTGGATGTTGAAGTGAAAGCCGAGCCCTAGAGCGCTCGCCAGTATAGTATAGTTTATACGTGTTTTATGTAGACGTTCGGTTGTAATCCTGTAAAACCGTTCGTTCTTAAACTCTTTATATTATGGCGTTCGTCATTTCTGTATGCTTTATGAACGTTCGACATCTTAGTGCTCGTTCGGTTTTTGTAAGACTGCACTGTTTATTATCTTAATGTAATTAATCTTGATTATGGTAATTACTATATTTTGGGATGTTACAATTGACGTGACATAATATAAAATTAACAAATTTAAAAAATTAAGAAAAATCATTGTTCCAAATTTTTAGTTCTTTAAAATAATATAAAGTTAATTATTGTAATTAAGTATTATTCACTTAAATTTTAAAACTCTCTATAAAATGTTTCTAAGAAAATTAAAGAAGAAAACATTAAATTATTCTTAACATATAGTACTATTAAAGTATCAAAATAGTTGTATACGTCAAAATTGGTGAAACAAATGCTGTAGTGTAGAGAATAATATGGTTAGTTAATGTTTTTCCTTAAACTTGATGAATTTAATCCCGCATGCAACCATCTTAACGTAGCAAATGTTTTTATGTTGTGATCTGTGAAAGCATATTACATCCTTTAATTGTTTAAAATTCTCAAAACTCATTCAAAATTTGGCTAGTGTCGGAAACCTCATGTCATTGCTATGCTACACATCGAATAATTCACTCTCTTGCTACTTCTACGATGCTTATGAAAGTGATGATGCTTATGAAAGTGGCAGTGCTTATTGAACAATAATATAATACAAATCCAGATCCATCAGGAACACATGTATGACTCAAACAAAATTACAAGGAGCGTAATTTACACGCGTTGACAAAGATCTCTGATCTCATATACACTATTCATGTATATTCATGGATCAAAGAATTAATGCGCAAAGAAATTGTGTCTATGTCTTCAAACCATTTGTAGTGTTCTGTCGGTTTCCTCGTCAATCTGTTGGTCTGGGGAGATCTTGCTGTCTGGTGAATGTTGTTTGGATTTGACACGCTTTTCTGGTTGGAAATTAGCCAAATCTGATAGTTCTTCCACAGTTTCCACAATGCCTTCCACACGTGCCACGATTTCAATAAGCAAAGAAGCCACTGTTACAACCTGAATAATTTGCAAAAGTGGGATTTCTACTTTTGCAGCTTGAGGAATATCAGACGGAGCTGTTTCTGTTTGTGCACTACGTTTTGCATTATGTGACGGTGCGTTAACCAAGTTTGGATAAGAACTCAGTAAACTTCGAAGATCTTGTGCAGCACTATTCATCTCTGTAACCAGAATATCAAGTTTTGAGGATTTTGTCATGTTCCTCATCGTAGTTGCTATCTCTCTTATGACACTCGCAGATTTGGCACCCACTTTCATGGAGATGCTTCTCATGTTCTTCTTCATCTCATCCGAAGCCTGCTCAAATTAATTAAGTAATAAATTAAGTGATGAAGCTCGTGATTTTTGCATACTTATGACACTCGCAAAATACCTTATTGTCTGAGTTTATGCATCCAATAAGAGCATCTAAGCAAGAAGCACAACTACGCATTGATGCTCCGATTTTAACATATTGCCTCCATGGATGACGGAAGTTGAAGCGACCATGGCCAGGCTCCCATCTGGCCAAGTTTGCCTACCGTAACCATCATAGTTTAGTCACACTAATAAGTAACTGAGAATAAGGTCAAAAGAGTTACAAGTATATGCATATATTTACCATAGCTTCTTCTGTTGCTTTGGAACTTAGCACACACTTGTAGCCTAGCAACTCTTTCTCAGACACCTTATCACTTTCTTCATCCGAGGCTTCACTGCCATCAAAGTACCGAGCCACACAACCTGAAACACATGCTATACGTTATACATGGAAATGAGAAAATTAAGAATTTATATTCTCTATCGGTGGGAACATAACATGAATAATTGTAATATGAAAGTCAACATTGAAGACTGACATTGTAAGGAGTTGGCCAGTTTGTCGAGGTTCCCTGTGACTAGAACAAAGAGCTCAAAACCAGCCCAGATGGGGCGAATGATCACGCTGACAATTATGCACAATATGCTGCCAATGATAATGGTGAACATTCTGTACTGTGCCATATCCAGCAACTCGTCAACCCGATAACCCGATATTGACACCAGGCAGAAAGTGAGGATGAATATCATAGCACCATAATCAAAACGAGCCTTTATGGTGGGGATGAATCTGGAGAATGTTGCTGCCGAAGCTGAACAAGCACACACCAATTCATTAGCTACCATCAAGTATTAAACACATTCGATATTGATTGCGTACGTAACATAAAACTTTATACATATATACCTAAAAGAAAGAGAGAGACTCCTATGATTATTGGTTCATATTGTTCTCCTGCTCTACTAGCTACCCAATGTACACCAATGCCCAAAAATCCAGCAAGGGAAGTTCCACACATTCGATTAACAGTTTTACATATCGTTGCACCTGCAATTGGATTGTCACTAGTTACATATCACTGGGGAAATATCTCAGAAAAAGTGTTACAGTTAAATTTCTACCTACCGGCTGTGTATTCAAACACCACAACCACTGTCATGACAGCCCACATAGCATTTCCTCCAACGCCATCATACAGAGGCTTCCAATAGTAGAAGAGCGAGACAAGTGAAAGAGCAACCCCTACTTTCAAGCAATGGATGAATTTTCTTGGGTCATTCACACCCAATTCCCATGCTTTCTTCACAAACTTCCACAGCTTCAAAGCCACACCTGCTGTAGCTGCCCACATGAAACCAACCACTCTTCTCTTCAATGTGTCATCTTCTTCTACCTTGATCCTCCACTCTATTTCTTTTGCCACTTCCTTGCCACAAGCCATCTTCTTGATTACCAATGCTGTTTATGCGTGTATCTGTTAAATTAGCAAGTGGTTCAGCAAAATATTGTTAGACCAAGATTAGTGGCTAAGGCTTTAATCAAATGCCTTATGCCACACAAAAACTTGTTGGAGCTAGAGAAGTAACCTTGCATATTTATATAAAAGAGGACAAGTGTTGGATACCTCAATTAGAGGATATTTATAAATTAATCAACTGAAAAGGAGGGTTTGTGTCCATTAACTTTCTATAAGTTGGTAAGTTTATATTCTATTGTTAAGACATAGTTGATGTGTAAGAGCACACTGACAACTATCCCACTCAAGTATATTGTTCTATCTTTTTCAGTGCTAAAATGTTCCAATTCAAAAATTGTTGGGCACAATATATGCACAGATGGTCATGTTTTATTGTGTTTATACTATGCACGTGACTGCAGAAAAACAGAAAGCACGTCACTTAATGCAAGTTGTATCAATGCAAACAAAAATATCTGGGACTTGACCTAACCAAGATAATGAATTATCTCAACTTAAAAGGGTTTTCAGCTCACACTGTCAGTGTTGAAGATGTAATCGTGAATAGTAAAGTTAATATGCCATTACTTACATAAAGTCATGGGTCCTATGTCAGAAAACTTAGTGTATCCGACACTCAATTTAATACAATCAACGACTAATTAAGCATTTGTTACTTTAATGAAAGAGTCACTACCTTGAGCTGTCAGAATATGTTTTGCATATATGCTCATACCTCGTTTACAGTTTCTTTGAAAATTCTAATGATTTTCTTATAGCAGTTCACGTAAAGTTTCTTTCTAATAAATTTTATAGATGAAAAACTTAACTAGTTGGTCGTGATGTCTCTACACCAATAAAAAAGATTAGAATAGAGTTTTGCCTACATATGTATGTTATAAATGGGAAATATGTTGCATATTAAATGTGACCTACTCATCGAACTATGCAAGCAACTACATATTGTTTAACAAAGGATATTTGGACACTAAATAATAAAAAAAGACTACAATATTCCAGATGTATATAAATAGTTAAAAATTCAACAGATGATATTTTTGGTTCATCTTTTATCTGTTGTCTGGCACTTGTGCATGCATGATAATTATTTTTAGATTAATGAAAACCCTAATAAGCATATCGTGTCACTTCCACTCCTAATTTACATAGGCATGCACTTCCACATATTTAGGCCAATGTTCGAGTTTTTTATGGGTTTTTCTTTTTTCTTTTCAAGGAGCTTCTAGGGTTCTGAGAAAAATTATATACATATAACATGACTTTAAATTATATAAAGAATAATACCACTTTCAAATCAAAAATTTTAAATATCGACTGTTCTCTTTTTCATTGACTGACCTAATTAAAAGCAGAATATGGGATATGTTTGATATGCAATCTTATAGTAGCATAGTGAGTTGGTCCACCATCTCTAGCATTGCTTGCCTGTTGTACCGCACACAGCCGTCACCTGATTCTCAGTGGTACGGTTATCAGATCATTTTTCTGCTGTCTGAAAATGGATAACAAAATTAGGAATTATAGGAAGCAACACGGAATGAATTAGGTCATGACTAGGACTTTCTACCTTGAAACAATTTTGTGGCCAATTAGGCTTCTGGGAATTTACAAAATATATGGGAGAGCCCTTATCTAACTCCTTTGTGGTGTTTGCGCACTATTTTTGAAAAGTCAATCCAACTATCAAAAGTTGCTTATATAAATATATACATACCTTACTTGTGTCACCATTTCTTCATGTCCTAATTTGTTCTTAATTAATCAAGTTTTAAAATTCTCAGTTGCAGCAACATATATTGCCTACTTTTGTAAAGTATTCGTACAAAGCATGCGTCCGGATATACGTGGGAACCATGCATATCACATCATGTTAATTAGATCTATAATTTTAAATTTTTTAATAAAGGGATTGAAAGATACAGCTATTATTAAGGATACAGCTACTAAATATACACCATATTTACCATTAGTGTAATCTTTTATTTGCCATTTCAGTTTGCAGACGTATTGCAAACAAACACGCTACTTTGCCTAAAATTGTAACTTACTGTAAGGAAACCAATTGGATTCTGCAGTGTTGATGAAATCAATTATATTTGACAAATAAGATACTTACCACTATGAATCTATGATCTTGTCTTTTTAATTTCATGGACATAGTGTTAAGCGAATCAACAATTAGTTCTGTCGGTGGAAGTAGTACATAAGTAAAGGATTTCGGGTAGAATACTTGGATTTGCAATTTGTGGTAAAGATTCACACTACTTGAAAGAAAAATTGTGAGGAATTCAAGTATAATATTAAGAGTTATATATATATATATATATATATATATATATATATATATATATATATATATATATATATATATATATATATATATATATATATTAAGTGGAGACGAGTTAGATAAGTAATATATAAAGAAAAATTTCTATAAACTCATTAAACTGAGATTATTAGCATCTTTTATATGGATTAACTCGAAACTCGTTTGATTAAAAAGCTTAACACACATATATGAGATTGTTGCTTGTATACAAAATCAAATTATATTTTATACAGATTGACTCATTCAAATTATATGTCCACCTGAAGAACCCTATATGTATATATAAAGAATGCAGCTTGGATTCTTTGAAGATGTGATGAAAACAAAGTAGATTCATGTCCATTAGTTCCGTTAACTAATGCGGAATAGAAACAATCTAACGGGATATACCTTAGATTCCTTAGTTAACAATGAATGAATTAGGTCATGAATACAACTTTCATTTTAATTAAAAAAGTTTTCAGACATCTTGAGATGCATGTGGGTCCATAACATTGTAGAGCACTTAACTCCTCACTCTAATTCTAAATTCTATTTGAAAAGACAATCCAACGATCCAAAGGAGCTTTAAAGAACTTTATTGAGTCAGCATTTTCTACAAGTCCAAATATAAATCTTTACACTTAACCAAAATTATAGCTACTATGCTGCCTCTTTTTAGTTAACCATTAACAATGTTTGTGTTGGAATGTTTGGATGATTCGTCATCTCATCATTGCATATTGTTTAGCTTTTTCATAAAAGGATCTAACCACTACCCTAAAGAACCATATCATTAAGTATGTGATGTTTTGTCTAACTTTTTCTGTAACTACTTCTGCAGTACAAGAGATGTTTGTAAAGGAATATAACTCACTGTAGAACAGTTTTACAGTATCATCCAACAAATTATCATATATAATAATTTTTTTAATTATGATTTCTTACTGATTAACACTGTAAACTTTTTTATATTAAGAGTACATATATAGTAATTAGACTCTAATTGTAAATAAATCTAACTACTATATGCAGATAAAGTTTATTATATTTGATTGAGATATAGGTTATAGGTTCCAACTAATTTATTAAACATCTTCAAGGAATACTAGATGTAAAAGAGAATTCAAATATGCCTATTTGGATGCTGATTTGGGTCACTCTTAACTTTTGGCCCTCTGAAACACAGTTGACAAGATAAAGCTCAACAGTATACATAATTTCAATTCATCACCTGCACAGCCTCTTCCTTGGGAATTTAGTTGGGAATTGATCACCTACAGATTTTGCTAAGTGTATCCTAATCTACAATTTATGTACAGACATGGATCATGTTCCTACGATTTGATGCTATTGGCATGAAGAGCATCCCAATTCTTGTTGGAAGAATCAATGCCGGAGGTGTTTGTCTGTTGTAGAAGATGGATAAGGGACCAAAACACATCTATCCTTGTCACATGTCTGTTTGCCTGTTGCACAAAGTAAAGCTGTATTAATTATTTCATAAAAGCTTACAATTGAAAAAGAAAACTGCAACCTCACATATCAGCATCTGAATGCTGTAATTTGTACTCTAATACTGCAATCAAATATTTGATCTACCTCAACAATAAAGCGTGCCCATAGTTTGTTCTTCTTTCTTTCCATCTTGGCTTTCAATATATTCAGTCCAAAACCCCGAATTATGTCAATGATCTCAAGGAATATACCCTGCACCTCACAAAGCATCTGCAACAAAGTTATGCCAATGAATTAAATTTTGCATAGGTAATCCAAATGACAGATATATAAAACATACACTCTCAATTCTATCTTACCTCTATAAGCATTTGGCCCGGTGGACTCATGTCTTCAACTATAATGGGGCATAGCATTGTTTCGTGTCCCACTTCATATGCCCATGTAATGCCACAGTTTTTGCTATCCGCGACACCACTGTCTTTTAGAACCACTTCATTTTCCTGTTCTATAAGCTAAACAACCAAACAAGTCCAATCATATCTGATTCTTACATGTTTAATTGTTATTAAATAAAACATTTTACAAAATTGGTTTGATCAGTTACCTTCGGCTCATTTGGTTCTCGTAACTTGTCTGAATACTTGAGAACACTTTGTAAGAAAAGCATATATCTGATGGTGAGGTCTAACAAAGAATCAATGCTACACTGTCAAATAAAGAAATCATATGTCAGTATCAAAACAGTCTGCAGCACAACAAAAAGAATGTAGCTAAGATTATAAGTGTATGCCTTGAATCACAAATGCTAAATAGAGAAAGTTTTAGAAGTTTCAAATTTTGCTTCTTAAGTAGAGGAAATATAATGTTGTGTTGTTCTTATAATTACAGTTCCTTGGAAAAAAATATCATTTACCTTTCCACCATTTGGGATGATTCCTCTCAATTCTTTAATGCAGTCTTGGATTTGCTGACGATCTTTTGGCCGTGGTCGAGGGCTCTCTCCTGGTCTAGCCCTCTTCTTGGTGGGCTTTGCGTGTTCCTCTGCCTTTTGAGGGTGTTTTGGAACAGCCTTTCTAATGTTAATGCTATGGCTATCACCAATCCAAGTTGCTGCTTGTAATTTTGAGAATGTATCTTTCTTGCTTGGAAGATTGTTTGTGCTGTCTAAGTCACAAAGAGGTTGCATCAGTTCTGCTCTTGTACTTCCATTCACAGATGAAGATTCTACTGTCTGCCTCTTATTGGGTGATAATCCACACTCAAATTCCGAACTATTGACTGGATAGTAATTTGCTCCACCCCTCAAAAGCTCTTC